AAAATTCCCAAAATCCCTCAAGTCTCCAAAAAATCCCCCAAAATGCAAATTTCTGACCAAAGAAATCCCCAAATCCCTCCCAAAATCCCCCAAATTCAAAATCTTGACCCCAAAAAGCCCCAAATCCCTCATCTGAAATTATAACCCCCAAAAAGGCCCAAAATCTGAAATTTTGACCCCAAGAAGCCCCAAAATCCCCAATTTCGACCCCAACCCCATTGCCCTTTCCCCTCACCTGCAGGAGGCTCTTCAGGGTAGGCGGGGCCTCGGCTGAGGGGGCGGGGCCAGCCAGGAGAGCTCTGCGATTGACAGGTGTGAGGCCACGCCCCCAACGGCACCAGAAATCCCCTCAGGGACCCCAAAATGTCCTAAAAACCCCCAAAATTCCCTCCCACCCCATTGAGCCCCACCCACCCACTTAGGCCACACCCATTCCTTTTGGCCACACCCACTCCTTTAAGCACCACCCATTTTAGCCCTGCCCAATCCCTTTCAGCCCAACACACCCCTTTAGACCACACCCACCCCCTTAAGCCCTGCCCATCCCTGTAAGCCCGACCCACTGCTTAAGCCCTACCCACCCCTGTTTGAGGCCTGCCTGCCCCTTTAACCCCCACCCATCCCTTTAAGCCCCACCCACCCCCTGTTTAAGGCCTGCCTGCCCCTTTAATCCCCACCCATCCCTTTAAGCCCCACCCAATTCTTTAAGCTCCACTCACCCACTTAGGCCCCACCCACCCTTTTAAGCTCCACCCATCCCTTTAAGCCCCACCCACCCATTTAGGGCACACCCACCCACTTAGGCCACACCCCTCTGTTTAGGCCCCACCCAACATCTAACCCACCCAATCCCTTCAAGCCCGAACCCACATCTTAAAACCCCGCCCACATCTTTAGGCCACACCCATGCAGTTAAGCCCAACCCACCTTTTAAAGTTCCACCCCCCTCTTTAAAATTCACCCACTGCATTAAACCTCACCCACCCCTTTAAGCCCAACCCACCCCTCTAAGCCACACCCATTTAAGCCCTACCCAGTCATTTTGGCCACACCCATCTCTTCATCCCCACACACTCCATTTAAGCCCAGCCTGTTCCTTTAAGCCTCACCCACTCATTTAAGCCCCACCAATTCCTTTAAGCCCTGCCCGCTCCTTTAAGCTCCACCCATTTCTGTAAGCCCCACCCACCTATGTTTAGGCCCCACCCATCCCTTTAAGCCACACATACTCATTTAAGCTACACATCTGTTTAAGCACGACCCAACATTTAATGCACCAAATCCCTTTAAGCCCCACCCACCTCTTTAAGCCCCACCCACATCTTTAAGACACACCCATTCATTTTGGCCCCACCCACCCCTTTAAGCCCTTACTATTCCTTTAAGCCCCACCCACCATTTAAGCCCCACCCTGTCTCCTTAAGCCCACCCACCCATTTAAACCCCACCCACATCTTTAAGCCACACCCACCCCATTAAGCCACACCTATTCTCATTAAGCCACACCCATCCCTTTAAGCCCCACCCACCTTTTAATGGCCCCACCCACCTCTTGAGGACCCACCCATTCCTTTAAGCCCCACCCACCACCCTAAGCTCCACCCATCCTTTTAAGCCTCACCCACTCCTTAAAGCCACACCTATTCCCTTTAAGCCACACCTACCTATTTAAGCCACACCCATGCTTTTGGCTCCAGCCACCCATCCCTTAAAGCCCAACCCACCCTTTAAGCTCCACCCACTTATGCCACACCCACCCCTTTTAAGCCCACTCCATCCATTTAAGCTCCACTCACAATTTAAGTCCCACCCACATATTTAAGCCCCACCCACCATTAAATCCAGCTAATCCCTTTGAGCCCCACCCACCCTTTTAAGCCCCACCAACCCTTTTAAGCCCCACCCACCTCTTTAAGCCCCACCCACCTTTTGAGTCCCCCTCACATATTAAAGCCCCACCCACCCTCTTAGGCCACACTCACACTTTAAGCCCCCCCATCCCTTTAAGCCACACCCACCCCTTTAAGACCCTCCCATTCTTTTGGCCACTTCCTCCCCTTTAAGCCCCACCCACTCCTTCAGGCCCCACCCACCTTGTGCTCTGATTGGCCAGGACCTCCAGTGCCCAAAGCACCGCCTCTGGGCTGTGGCCAATCAGTACAGCCTGTAGGGGGCGCCATGTGTCAGAGCAGAGGGCATGGCCTGAGCAGAGCCACGCCCCCTCCCCCAGCCAGCCACGCCCACCTCAGCCTGTTCCGACCAATCTGGAGCCTCCTGAGCCTTCCCGGGGTGATTGGCAGCTCTGGGGTTCATTAATTAATTGAGAGGTTAATTAGGGGTTAAGGAGGAAGGGGTGTGGCTTACCTGTGTGGGCGTGTCCTCTGATGCTCCGCCTCCCTGGCCTTGCACAGGGCCTTGATTGACACCTGCAGAGGGGGAGGGGTTGGGGGAATTTGGGGATTTTTGGTGGGTCCTGAACTGATTTTGGGGGAATTCTGAGGGGTCCTGGGCTGATTTTGGGGTCCCTGAATGGTCTCCAGGCCCCACCTACCATGTCAGGCCCCGCCCACTCACCAGCACTTCCGGCTCTGCCCCTGCAGCCAAGATGGCCGACAGCTCCTCCCGGGATTGGCCCGGCCTGAGGGGACCCAAAAGTCTTTTAAAATACCCAAAATCTCCAAAAAATGCCCCAAAATCCCCCAAATTTACCCATAATCTACTCAGGAGCTCCAAAAATCCCATCAAGAAACCCAAAGTCTTCTCAAAATCAACCAAAACCTCTCAAAATATCTTCAAAATCCCCCCAGATCCCCTGAGGAACACAAAATCCCCCCAAAATCCCTCAGGGACCCCAAAATCTCCCCAAATTCCAAAAAAATCCCCTCAGAAACCCCAAAATCCACTCAGGAACCCACAAAATCCCCCAGAAAGCAAAAACTGCCTCACAATCCCCCAAAATCCCCTCAGAGACCCAAAAATCTGATCAAAATTTCCTCGTAATCCTCCAAAATCTGAAAATTCCCACCAGGGACCCCAAAATTCCCTCAGGAACCACAAAATTCTTCAAAAATCCCCTCATGGACCCCAAAACCTCCTCAAAACCCTTCAAAATTTCCCAAAACCCCATTAGCAACACAAAATCCCCTCAAAATCCTTCAAATTGTCTCAAAATTCCCTCAGGAACCCAAAATCCTCAAAAAACGCTTCAGGGACCCCAAATTCTCCTGAAAATGCCCCAAAATCTCCTCACAATCCCCGAGAGACACAAAAAATCTCTTGAAAACGCTTCAAAATCCTCCCAAGTCCCAGAGAATCCTCCAAAACCCCCTCAAAAATCACCCAAAATCCCCTGAAGGACCCCAAAATTCAGTCAGGGACCAAAAATTCTAAAAATCCCCCAAATTCTCCCATTGCCCATATAAAGAAACACTGCAAGGCCCCGCCCCTTCCACCCTGCCCCCTTCAGGCCCCGCCCCTTTTACCTTTTATGGATTGCCCTCAGCACCCCCTCGTGGCCGTCCCGCAGCCCAGCCGGACCCGGCTCAGCCGCTCGCTGAAGCTCCGCCCCCAGCAGCCGAAGCTCCGCCCCTCGCTGAAGCTCCGCCCACTGCCGGCTCTGAGCCTCCTCCAGCGAGGCGTCTGGGGGGGAAAGGGGGACCCCAAAGGTTTGGGGTGAGAACCCCCAAATTTGGGGTTTGGGGGGTCTGGGACCCCGAAACTGGGGTGAGGATCCCAAATTTGGGGTTTAGGGGGATCCTGGGACCCAAAATATTGGGGAAGGGGACCCCAAAATTGGGGTTTGGGGGGTTCAGAGACCCCAAATTTGGGGTTTGGGGGGGTCACGGGACCCCAAAATTGGGGGAGGAACTCAAAATTTGGGGGTGAGAATCTCAAAATTGGGGTTTTGGAGGACCCAGGGATCCTAAAAATGGGGATGGGGACCCCAAAATTGGGGGTTGGGGGGTTCAGGGACCCCAAATTTGGGGTTTAGCGGGGGTCTGGAACCCTAAAAATGGGGAAGGGGACCCCAAAACTGGGATTTAGCGGGATCAGGGACCCCAAAATTCAGGAAGGGGACCACAAATATTGGGGTCTAGGAAGACACGGTACCCCAAAATTGGGGTTTGGCCTCGATCAGAGACCCTAAAAATGGGGAAAGGATCCCAAAATTTGGGTTCTGGGGGTTCAGGGACCCTAAATTTGGGGTTTTGGTGGTCCTGGGAGCTCAAAAAGGGGGAAGGGAACCCCAAATTTAGGGCTTGGAGAAAAATTGGGGTTTGGGGGTTTCTGAGAATCCAAAATTGGGGATGGGGACTCGAAAACTGGGGTTTGGGGGCGTCAGGAACCCCAAAATCGGGATTATGAGAGTTCTGAGACACTACAAATGGGGGTAGAGACCCCAAAATACAGTAAGGACCCAAAAATTGGGGTTGGGGGGAGTCCAGGGACTCCAAAATTGGAAAAGGGGACCCCAAAATTTGGGGTGAAGACGCCAAACTGGGGCTTTAGTGGCTCAGGGACCCCGAAATTGGGGTCCAGGAGGACCTGGGACCACAAAGTTGGGGTTTTGGGGGTGCTGGGACCCTAAAATTGGGGAAAGGGACCCCAAATTTGGGGTTCAGAGGTTCTGGGACCATAAAAATTGGGGGAATCCCAGAATTTAGCGGTGGGGACCCCAAATTTGGTGTCTGGGGTGTTCAAGGACCCCAAAATTGGGGTTTGGGAGCATCAGGGACCCCAAACTTGGGGTTAGGGGCGGGTCAGGGACTGCAAAATTAGGGTTTTGAGTGGGCAAGGAATCCCAAATTTGTGGTGAGGACCCCAAAATTGGGACTTAGGGGCATCATGAGACCCCAAAAATGGCGCGGACCCCAAAATTTGGGGGTGGGCAGCCCCCAAAATGGAGGTTTTGAGGGTAGGACCCTTTGTGCGGGGGCCGCGTTTCCGGCCGGACTCACCGAGGCGCTGCGCCATTTCCTGTGCGTCCGCAATGGCGTCCCCCAGGTCCCGCACCTCCTTCCGGAGCCGCTCTACGGCCGCGCGCAGCGCCCCCTGCTGGCCCGGCGGAGCCTGCGCCAAAACGGCCCAAAAGCGCCAGAATTCAGCCAAAATTCACCCAAATGTACCTGGGAGTGTGCCCAGGGTTCTCACGATACCCAAAACTCTCAAAATATTGAGAAAATCCCACAAAAAAACCCCAAAATTCCACAAAAATGAGGGTTAAAATTGGCCCAAATCTGCCCAAATTCACCTCAAAATTCACCCCAATATCCCTGAGATTGCGCCCAGCGTCCTCACAATACCCAAAACTCCCCAAAAAAACGAGAAAATCCCCAAAAGCGAGGCTCAAAATTGACCGAAATCTGCCCAAATTCACCCCAACATCCCTGAGATTGTGCCCAGGGTTCTCACAACACTCAAAACTCACAAAAAAACCGAGAAAAATCCCACAAAAAATACCCCACAATCCCGCAAAAATGAGGCTCAAAATTGACCCCAAAAGTCCCTGAAAAAAATCCCCAAAAACTCTCCAAAATTCCCCCCAAGAATCCCCACAAATTTTATAAAGACGAGGCTCAAAAAAATTCCCAAAATTCCCCAAAAAATCCCCCCAAAAACCCCAAAATTTTATAAAAACAAGGCTCAAAATGGACCCAAATCCACCCGAATTCAGCCCAAAATGCACCCAAAATTCACCCGAATAATCTGAGATTGGACCTAGGGTTCTCATGATACCCAAAACTCCCAACGTCTGGGGAAATCCCACAGAAAAAACCAAAATGAGGCTCAAAATTGACCCCCAAATCCTTCCAAATTCACCCAAAATTCCCCCCCAAAATAATCCCCAAAATTCCCCCCAAAATCCCCAAAATTCCCTTAAAAATTCCCAAAATTCCCCCCCAAAAACTCCCTGAAAAAATCTCCCAAAAATTGCCCCCCAAAAAAATCCCCCCCAAAATCCCCAAAATTTAATAAAAATGAGGCTCAAAATGGACCCAAATCCACCCAAATTCACCCCAAAATCCCTGAGATTGTGCCCAGCGTCCTCATGATACCCAAAACTCCCAAACAAACGGGAAAACTCCACAAAAGAACCCCAAAATTCCACAAAAATGAGGGTTAAAATGCCCCAAATCCTCCAAAAACATCCCCAAAATTGCCCCCCCCAAAAATCCTTCAAATTCCCCCCAAAAATTCCACCAAAATTCCCCCCAAAAAATCCACAAAATTCCCCCAAGAACTCCCAAAAACCCCAAAATTCCACAAAAATGAGGCTCAAAATTGACCCTAAATCCTCCCAAATTCACCCCAAAATTCCCTCAAGTAGCCCTGAGATTGTCAAAAAATCCCAAAATCTTTTTCAAAATTCCTAAAAACCCTGAAAATTCCCAAATATCCAATAATCCCCAAAAAATCCCCAAAAAATTCCCCAAAATTCCCCAAAAAATCCACAAAATTCCCCTAAAAATCCCCAAAAAAACCCCAGAATTCCCCCAAAAATCACCCAAGATTCTCCCCAAAAATTTTCCCAAAAATTCCCAATACCCCCCAAAATCCCACAAAAATGAGGCTCAAAATGGACCCCAAATCCGCCTGAATTCCCCCCAAAATTCACCCAGATATCCCTGAGATTGTCAAAAAATCCCAGCAACTCCCCAAAGTCATTTCCAAAATTCCCCAAAAACCCTGAAAAATCCCAGAAATCCCCCAAAAAATCCTCAAAATTCCCCAAAAAATCCCCCAAAAATCACTTTTAAATGCCCCAAACCCCTCCCAAAATTCCCACAAAACCCAAAACAATTCTCCAAAAATTTTGCATTTCGCCTGCAAAAAAAAATCCTATTTCAAGCTCTAAAACTCCCCTGGACCCCCCAAAATTCCCTCAAATCCCCTCCAAAAATCCAAAAAATCCCTTAAAATTCCTGAAAATTCCCCAAAAATCCCAAAATTTCCCCAAAATGTCCCCAAATCTGAGGGAACCTCCCTCAAATTTTGGGTTCCCCACCCCAAATCTGACCCCAATTCCCCCTCAGGTTTTGGGGTCCCGCTCACCTCCAGCTCCTGCAGGTGCCCGTACCTGAACCCCGAGTTAAGGAACAATTTGGGGATGCCCCAAAAATCTCCCCTTCAATTGAAGGTTGAACCCCCAAATTTGGGCACCCCCACCCCAAATTTTGGGGTTTCCAGAATTTTCTATCCCAGGAACCCCCAAATTTTTGTGGATCCCCCAAAATTTCGGATACAAGTGCAGATTTCCTCGGATCTTATTCACGTTCCTGTGGGGACACCCCAAAAATTCTGTGA